GGGGGGGGCGATGGAAAGTGGCCGTGTGTACAAGTGGCCGTACTATACAGGTGGTCGTCACAGCAGGTTCGACTGTAGTTATAAATCATTATAACTCGCTACCTGCATGCCAATTTAGGCCCTAAGGACGATAGTTTGCTTCTTTTTTAATCAAACATAACATATCGTCGCTATCTCTCCTGTTTCTTTTGTGTTTGTTACTCTCTTTGTAACACCTGTAATCTTTTTTTTTGATTGATTGGGTAGATGTTTTACGGCACTATCGACACAATTTTGGTCATTTAAGCGCCACTGTAATCTTTGGCGGTACTCAAGTGACCTTATTGTGTCGCAAATGCTGTAAAACTCTTACTAAAACTAAACCAAACATTTATTGCTAAACCATTTATGTTCTCTGTTGTTACAGATTCCCAAATGCTCAGGTCTCCATTTGTTTTGTTTGTTTTTTGCTTTTTTAATTTGTTGTGTTTTTCAAGTCGTTATTACTATGTTGACTGGTAGAATGTAGCCTGTGTGGTGGGAGTGGAATGTGTTTGACCTTTGACATTGTCCGTGAACGTGTGTGCTGTGACGTCGGTGCTGTGTGTTTGTTCATAGAGTGAGGGTTGACGTAGTGAACAAAGCGTACGTACGTGAGGTCGACGGGACTTTATTGAACCAGGGGGTTCAAACTCGCTACCACCGGCGTCTGTGGAGTAGCGGTTAGAGGCGCTTCGCTGTCGTACGCAGGAGACCCGAGTGGGGAGACAGTTTTTTTTTCTCCAAGTATCTCAGTCTTTGTGCCGGGATGTTGTATCGTTGTATACCTCTCAGCCCGGGTTGGCCCTTACAGGCAGGGTAGGAAGACCGCCTCCTGAACTTTTACAATCTAAATAGTGTCAGTGGGGTCGTAAAGCTCCTACAAATAGTTATAAATCATTATAACTCGCGATCTGCTTGCCAATTGAGGCCCGCAGGACGATTGTTTGCTTCTTTCTTATCAAACATATATTACCGCCATTACCGGTATCTCTCGGCACTTATGTTTTGTTTTGTAAAGTGTTTTACGGCTCTTGCAACTGCATAAGGTCATATGAGCGCACGGAACAAACCTAATATTGTCAGTTGGTAGGAAATTTTGAATTTCGCCCGGCTGGCGCCGAAGCCTACTCTTATCGATTTTAGACCACCAAATGATCTTTAACGTGCGCAACTTGTACACGGGCCCTCAGAGATTTTTCGCTCTTGTCCGAGAAGGCTAGGAATAGATATTTCCTACCAGAAGATCAGGGGTGCGGTAGAAAGACAGCAGTAAAGAGGAGCTAAGGAGTGGCAGTAGAAAGGCTGCAGAAAGAGTCAGGAGCCCAGAGGAGGGGGCAAAGGAGGTGAGGGGGTGGGGGCAGAAAGTGGAAATGAAAGCAGACAACAGAACATTGCTAGAGAGCTAGAAAGGAGGTGAAAGGAGACAATTTTAGAGAATAATTTTTTTCGGTCGCTACCCGGATTCGAACCCGGGACCTTTGAGTGAGAGGCCAACACCTTAACCTCTAGGTCACGAGAGCCCCCCTCGGCACTTATACGACCTTTTTGTTTTGCAAGTGCCGCAAAACACTTACTAAAACTAAAACTCTCCTTTTTATTATTCAACAAAACAAATAAAAAGAAACACCTCAAACAATCTGGAATGGCAAGTTTCTCATTTATTTCTGTGAAACATTTCAAGACCGTAGTGAACACACAGCAATGAATCAGTCCATCATTATGGTGTGCCTACAGTCAGTCATGATGTGTTTTTTTTTCTTTTCTTTTCATCGCCGCTGAGCGTTTCAGTGAATTGGCTTCTCACACACAGAAGTGACTGTGGTCTTACTTCTTTTGCCTGGATCAAAACAAATACACAGAAAGTATAATAATGTTACGTGCGTGTATATGTGTCATGACGTGGTGGAATCAGACGCTCGTCAATTGTTTGTGCATATTATGGAGTTATGGTATCGTTTTAAAGTCTGTTCATTTGCCTTCCTTTTGGTGAAAAAAAATCAATTTGTTAAGCATAAAAGTTGAACTATATACGATTGAAGGAGGTCAAAGTGCAAATGTGTCAGAGGTAAAATTAGTGAGCGAATTGCAGCCAAAGTTTGGTCATTTCTATAGCCCACCCAAGAGTCCGTGGAAATTTAAAGTTTACATTTTTCGAACTTTTAATCAATGTCTTTTTAAAAAATCCACAAAAGTGTTTTTAAATGGACATAATAGGTTTTGAGCTCAAAAATTGAACTTTGAAAAAAAAAATGCCCACCTCGGCAAAAAGAAATGTGGGTGAGCGCCTGATTTCTCTACGATGCCGTAATATAATTATGCAATGGTTTGGTCTTGAGGACACGAGAAACAGATTTCGAAGCCAAATAAAAACACACAGGGAACAGGACTAGTTTTATTTAAAAAGTCGTCGAACGGACACCC